AGAGAGGTGCTTTCAGATCTCGTTGTCGAAACACCCAAGACAGTTCCCAGTGTTTTTACACTGACTGTTTTTCTCCTCCTGAATCATTTATTCATTTTTTTATATACTCATTTTTTTTTTGAAATTCCAATAACTGCACGAGCTTTCAGTCGGGCTTACCCTGCACCATTCATGCTTTCCGTCCCTGTCTGGAAGTAATTCACACACGCAGACCAACGCACGCCTACGCATAGACAGTAAGAAAAAAAAGAGTATTTGGCGTGAGGTGAATCGTGTGGCGCGCCTCCCCGAATGCGTGAAGTCCCCCTGATTTGGCGGGCTATTTCTATAATCAGGCGCACATTTGTAACTCTGTGCTCTTCCCCTCCTGTCCGGCTACCACCGCCACCTTTACATTTCCAAACCCCTCACCCCTCCCCGAGACCATCCATCCAAACCCACCGTTCTTTTGAGCAGGGTCCTTGAATCTTGAATGCAAACACCAAATATTTTACCCTCCGACAACAACAGGGAGAGGACGCGCAACGGACTGACTTTCTCCATCCTGGCGAAGGAGGAGAGACTGTAGGCTGCCCTGTCCCCCTTTCTGCTCAAATCATGTATACAAACAGAGTTTATAAAGACACAGAAAGCAAGAAATATTGCAGGTAAGTTTTTTCTGTTATTTGTTGCGCGAAACCCAATTCGTGGGCAGCTAGTTAGGGAAGTTTGCAGCCTGACCGTGCTTGGATATTTTGGGACTTAGTCACCCCCATCATAACCGGTTGATCCGAAGACAAAGGTAACAGCATTCTCACGAGACGTTCTGTAGTGGCAGGGAACGCCATCCAAAGTGAGGTTCGCCTTCACTGGGACTCAAAAAAAAAAGACCGCAATGTTATGCAGATCATTTAAGAGGACGTATTCATTGTTGCCTATCCGTTTACATGCTGCTTGTAGTCGTGAATGTTTGCCTGCTAAAGCTTAACCTCACCACTTGTCTTTATTCCCTGCAAAGGGGATACTCAGCGCGACTTTTTTAAGGGTCATTGCAGGGGATGCCGTTTGGTGTCTGCGCACTGATAACTTTGGGAACGTTCAGAATAGGGTATTAAAAATAGCAGTGAGACGGGTTTTTGTTTTTTGTGTTTTGGTTTTTTTTTTGGTTGTGTCTGTGTGTGCATACTGGCAGCAGATGGGATTTTGCAAACACTCAAAGAGAGCGGGCTGCGGTAATGCGTAGGAGTATTCACGTGTTGGGGATCCTCTGCTTCAGGCTGCCTGATCTACTGAGATGCCTAGTAACTACTAAGAGATAGACAGAGAGGGAAACTTTGGGAAAAAACACTTTTTTCCCCCCAAGGCTGTGTTTACATAATCTGTATATATTTATGGATTTTTCTTTTACGGCCTCAACAACGGCGTTCTCCCCCGTCGTGACAAAGAAGTAGAACTGCATGGTAGATGCTCATTCGTGAGTATTAGTTATAAACTTATAGGTTATGCGTCCTTAGTCCTCCACTTGTAAACAACTTTCTGCAGCGGACTTGCGTCAGCCCACACGTGTCGCCAGCTGCCTCGGAGGTACATGCTGTCTTGTTTTCTTTCATGGCCGCGATATAACCGCATTTGTTAGTCCCGTGAGTCTCAAAATGCTACTTGCATTCGCCGGAGCAACATAAGGTGGCGTCGTTATAAAACTCAAGTCTGGGAGGGAAGTTAGAAGATTCAGCAGAACAGGCAGGTTGAGCTGCCCTCACATGGCTCAAACAGCGACTGAGCTGTTCAGCACCACGGAGAGCTCCCTGTTCGTTTACGCACTCACATCCTAAGGTAAATTAGAAACTGTGGTCCAAAATGTTTAATGACGTGAAAATAAACGCATAAGGCTGTTTTATTTTCTATAGTTTGTTATTACTTCTTTCATGCTGTGAAAACGAATATTTTAAAGTTGTGCCAATGCGGAGAGGTTGTTACAGGTTCATGATAAGTTTACCTCGTACAAAAAGCGGTAATCGGAAACTGAATCAGTAAGTATTTTGTGTAACATTTGGCTTCAAGTCAGCACCACTTCACCTACGTTCATTTGTGTACACATTTTGAGTATCCTTGACAAAAACTTGCCACAGTTACTCTGTGGTTTCAGAATGTCATAGATCACAGTTCTCTGGATGCCACACCATCGGTGCCAGGACTTTTATTTCTTCTGGTTGCCGAAGATAGTTCTTTATATCCTTGACTTTATGGTTGAACTCGTTGGCATGCGGGGGGGAAAATGACTCAACGAAAACTGCTTAGAAGCAGCTAATCGCCTCGAGTGGCTAAAACCGCTGCACAGTACTGTTCTTTTGCCTTAAAGGTCGTTTAAAAGTGAATCTTTTGTACTTTGTGCAGGTGTGGCCGGTAAAATTGAGAAATCCGTTTGACAGACTTGGTGTACAAAGATCTTTGTGTGGTTTTTGCAGAAGGCACGCCTCCTGCCTGTGTCGGAGTAGTTGTGATAGTGAAAGGAACAGAAGCAGTACCTTCTCGTTGTGATGTGAACTCGGACAAAAAGTGTGTTGTGTCTTGGTTTTCGCTGGAGTCAAGAGTGCCGGTTTTTTTTTAAATGTTTTTTTATTTTTTATTTTTTATTGGAAGGGTGGAGGTGGTGGGGGTAGACAAAGTTTGGGTTAAAATTAAAGGAGGTTCTCTGGTTGGGTTTGTCGACACCACGCGGTGATCACCGTGCACTGCGCTGGCAAACCTTGGCTTCATCTCCCACTGACACTGCTTATTTCTTGATTGAATGATTGTAGACCACTGTATGTGCTCATACGTGCTTGCATGTAGTGTAGCCAATGTTTGTTTTGTGTGAGCTAAATCAGATATTTACTTGCTGTGTCATGTTTTATACTCATACATTTGTGATAAGAGCCAAAGAGACTACAAAATACGCAAAGAATAAAACTCCTTTTTTCATTTTTTGATTACTCGGGGTGCATTTTTGTCATCTCGGTATTCAGGATATCCTAAATCCCTTCTCTGAGCGTGTCCCTATACATGCATTCGCCAGCAGTCACGGGCATACAGTTGGCCTACAGGCAGGGATAAAAATAGCACAAACCGATGCGACGGGCGCAGCCCTTTTCTCTTTCAGAGCCGACTTTTCTAGGTAGCTGCCACTCAGTTGGTACTCACTGCCTTCATTTCTAAAACCCTAACACCATCCACCATAGGCCAGCCCGCCCCATCGGATAAAGTCTCGTGAATGTCCACGCGGCATGAGTGCAGATGGACGGCCTGGTGCGCGTAAAGAGGGTCTTACAGTAAAGATGTTATAGATACAGAAGAGGGCTGGGAGAGAGATTGAGCATACTGTGGAGGGAGGTTTGTTTGTACACCTTTGCACCGACAAGTGTGCGCTCCCGGGGGTTTGTTCCGTGGGCGAGCGGGGTCTGGTGCGTGGGCTCGACCGATGGAAAACAGGAGATTAAGGTTGTGTTTTCCTCTCCTTTGCCGTAGAGATACGGGTGTTTTGCCCGCCAAATGCACTGGATGCTGGGATATAAATTCTCCAAGACCAAAACAGCACCGACACTTGGTGTGTGGGGAGGGGGGGAGACATGGGTGGGAGGAGGGTGGCTGGAAAGCCAGATGCTTAGAGGAGGGTTTTCACCAAGAGATAACCTACTCTAAAGCTGCAGTTTCCACGAGTCCATACCATATTACCCACCAGTATATCCTCGTGTTTTATCACTTATATTTTTTCCTTCCACGTGGCAAATTTTCGAAGAGAGCTGATGACAGAAAGGCAGCCTTTAATCAGACTCTCCGGGCTGTAAAGTGAGAGAATCTGAACGTGACGTCAATGCCTAGTAACTGACGCAGCCCTTAGAAAAAAGAAAAGAAAAAAAGGCTTTTTATTTATTATTTTTCGTCTTCTCGTCAGCAAAGCTTAATTATTAAATATAAGAGTGCTATGTCGTATGTCGACTAAAAGAAAAAATAAAATCCTTCAGGGACCGCCGGGCAGTCCGTGCTGATCAGCATTTGGACCTATTTAGCGTTCATGAGTTTCAGCTGCTGAAGTGACACTGGGACGAGAAGATTCTGAAGAGGGCGACAAGACATCAAATATTGTCGATGGTAATGGCAGCGTCGACGAGTTCCAGATTTCAGTTGTTAGGTGGTGAAAGTGGCGTGTTTTAAGGAAGAGACGGACGTGGTGGTGCTGTTGAAGGCACGCTGGGTTGAGAGGGGGGAAAAAGGAAAAAAAAAAATCACTGCAATGATGCAACGGAGGGGACTCGGGGATCTTTGCAGAGTTGGAGAAGCAAAATTAATTTCCATTACATGCTCTTCACGTAAAGATCCCAAGCAGTGCCTTTTTTGTGGGTGTTTTTTTTCTTCTCCTTCCTCGTACTGTGACCTAAAAATAGCATCATAGTTTTGATCGTGCGCCAGAAATAGACAGACGGGTATCACTTGTATAAAAAGGAGGCGATCCTGAGCAAACTTGGACGTGCCACTGTAAGCCTACATAACAACAAATGGAGGACTTAATCTGTTGCATTTCTACCAGACTCTTGTTGCGGCTTCTTCTTTTTTCCCCTCCCTTTACTAAAATCTCAATTCTTGTCTTTCTCTTTCTGCAGTGTCGAACAAGGACGTGACTGCAAACTGGTGAGTGAGACGTTTGCACACACACTTATTTAATTCCGTGTACTTTTTGTTGTGTGGTAATTGCTTGTGCATGCTGCCGAGTGTCTGTGCGGTTTCTATTCCTCCAATTTTGCCTTACACTTTGGCTCATGCACAAAAAATAAAAAATAAAACTTACAAAAAAAACAACCCCTGAACTTACGGTCCTACGCATGGATTTTGCTGGCATGCTTTACTAGCCATGTTTGATTGTAGAGCCGAAGCAACCCTTCCTGCAGAGTAGGAATCACCCCTTTTAGTAAATAAGCTAGTGCAAAAACTCCCTTTGTCTATTGGCGCTGTTGAGTCTCTATCACATATTTATTTTATTCCCTCCCATCTCTATGCTTAACCGCGAAAGCGAGGGGAACCCTTCTCTGATGAGCGCTTAAGGACGCCTTTCCCCCCGTCTTCTCCCCCCCCCCCTTTTTTTTAAAGAGGAATCTTACTGACAGAAAAGCGACGCTGGAAGAGGAAGAGGAGGGAGTGATGTGAAGGAGCTGTTGCTGCAGCAGAGACCAGGCACACCGCATGGGGAAACCCGGGAGCTGTCCAGCAGCAATGGTGCTGAAACCACACCAAGTGGCAGTAGTGGGCTGTTGCTGGTGTGCTTCACTGTATGTGCGTTTGTATGGATGCGTGTGTATGTTAAGGGGGCTTGTTGGTGTTGATCCCGGCAGCCAGAAGCTTTGTTTACTCCTGTTTGGAAACCAGGAGCTCGTATACTGAGCGAATCATCTTTCCTGGAAAGAGTATTGAAGCACCCCACCTTATCTAAGTTGCCCGAATCTACTAATGAGGGACACTCGCCGCCACACCCCCCCCCCCCGCCCCAAACCAAAAAAGATGTTTCTAATATAGTTCTTCCCGCCTGCATAGTTTGAACTGCCTCGACGGATGCCATGGGCAGAGAGAAGGAGAGAAAGAGGTACAGCCGGACTGACTTGGATCAGCTCTTCTCCTGCTGGCGTCAGCCTCGTGATTTCCTGGCGTGCCAGTCAAAATCATAAAGGATATATTCTCGCATCTCGCATCCCTACCAATCCAGCGGTTTGAACTGAAAGAGTTTGCAGTGCTCTTAAGAGCAGTTGCGAAATAGCTGAGGGTTTTCTGTGGGGTTTTTTTTCTTTCTTTTTGAGAGCTCTTCTCACGATAACTTTTCATCCCGGCGAGGGCTTCTATCAGAGCCATCTACTCCACGACAAATTGTGAAGGAATCAGCCCGTTTTGTTTAAGGTAGCTGTGTTAAATTAACGAACGGAAAGATCACAACAAGGCTACAGGCGTCTGCACAGCTCTGCAGCCCGACTGGGGACTCGACGAGCGCGCTCACCCCGAGTCTGTGCACGACTTTGGCCAATTTCCTCAGTACATTTGCATTCTGGCTAAAGAACTACAGTGGATTAAAACGAGCAAACAAACAAAAAATAACAAAACAGATAAAAATCAACCAGCCACCGGTATTTGTCATACAAAAATCCCGTTCACCTGCGATACACTGCTCCACCTCTCCAAACCCCCCAAAAAGAAATTCTCATCAATTCTGTCGTTCTTCTTCGGCCAAAACCCGCAAATACGCACTCGAGGGACCATATTTTGCTCAATAATTCAACGCCAAGAGTGTAATTTCGGTGAAAAAAACACGGATTCCCGAGTCGTGACTGCTAAAGTGAGTAATGTGCGCGTTGGCTGCGTCAAGAGAGGCAGTCACTGTGCAGTGCAGACGGTGGGGGAGAATCGTGACTGACTGGGTTGCAAATGAAAAGACCACCCAATAAAAAAATATCTACACCGGGAGGAGGGGAGGGTGGGGGTAGGGGTGGGGTAGAGGGCGCATGGCGAGAGGGAAGAGGATAGGAGTCTGGGGTTGGATTTGCACTAACCATTGTTTGGCCCCCCCCCCCCGACATTCCAAATACCTCCTTTCTCCATAAGCGTGTGATTAGTGTGTGCTTGCTGGGATGCTGGGAGCCAAGTTGAATGCAGACCAGTGTCATCAGTGATAGTGGGGCGGTGAAAATATGAGGGGGGGGGTATACCGTAACTTCCAGGTGCATGGAGTTGAGGGGGTTATGTAGAAAGGGGGGTGGGAAGGGGGTGCACTGAAAGCTGCAACTTAGAAAAAACAAATTAAACATGGAACTTTTCCAGAGAAAAGAGGTAAGTTGTTCTTTTCATTTTATTTGTCCTTCCTCTAAAACGAAGATCATTAAAGATTCTTTCAACTTTTTGTATGTGTGAGGACGAGTGGTTTACGGTTGTGATTAACTCTTTGACTCCTGACGCCATGCTCAGCAACGTGTTGTTGTTTTTGTTAAGTTAAACATTTGTTGCTGTGTGAGCTGTGAACTACTGCAGTGAATCGCATGCCATATGGTTAATGTCATGTTCGCTTCCCACCTGTAAATGACTGAAGGATCGTAGGGACTGAATTTGTTACACGGAGACCCCCGTGTCGGTTTTTGCAGTGGTACCCTCCGGTGAACTCTGTAGGTGACCATGAGTCGCCTCAGATGCTACTTGCTAAGATGTGACGCGATGTAGAGGGCTGTACAAAGCTTGTTCGCACTTGTCCAAAGTCCGGTTGCTATTATTGTTAGCTTTGTTTTTGTACCATATTTTCGTTTGTGTGCATTCCCTCATTATTTTGTATACAGCTTGTAGCTGGCGCGTAAGGAAAGTCCAGGATGCCTTTACTTCTGATGAGGTGAAAATAGCTAATTTTTGTTGTCACGTGTCATGTTTATTATTATCGTCAGCGTTTGATACGTTTGTTATTTATCACACTATAAAACGCGTGGAGCGACGGTTGTTTTCGCAGTCTCGTTAGAGGCTCTGCAAACGCAAAAAGGCTGAAAAATAGAAACTGCTAACACTGACATAGTCGCATCAGAGTCGTAGATCCTAATATAAATGCATATATCCAAAGTATAAACTCTGCCATAGACCACAATTTGGTTAGCCATCTTTTTTTTTCCTTTCTTTTTTTTTTTTTTTTTTTTTTTCAAAAAGGGGGGTCCCTATATGAGCGAGAAGCCGATTGGCTGATGACGAGGTTTAGTTTGCTCCAATAAGATCCCTCCCTGCTCTCTATTTATTGCCAGCAGTTTACAGCCTTGCTCCCTCCTCACCAAGCGCTCTGGAGCGGCTGCAGAGCGCCAGCGCTTCACTATAGGGAGACACACCACGGACCAGGGAATATAATACAGAGCACACTGACAACAAAACGCATCGATGCACAGCTCCCGTGGATCACACGGGCTTTGCACATCCTAGCGTTTGGATAAAAAAAAATTATAGCAAATAGGAGAAAATATGAAAGAAACAGAGTAAGAGGGGAAGGGGAGAGGAGAAAGGATTGGTTGAGAGACGAGAAGGGAGATAGAGGAGGATTTAAACTGGAGGAGTGGGGAATCAGAGCGAAAGGACCTTGGACAGCTCTCAGTTGCAGCAACCGGCTTGGCATCCGGAGACCCCCCCTCTTTCCACTGTCTTTCTTTCTTCCATCCTTTCTCTTCCTAGTGTGTGTGTGCGTGTGTGTGTGTGTGCGCGTGCGTGCGTGTGTGTGTGTGTATGTTGGAAGGATACACTCGCCTCGGGTTTCCGAAGGCTGGAGATATAATCAACCGAGTCGGGATGGGAGATAAATTCACGGAAGCAGAGAGCAGAGGTGTCACGGAGTCTCCGTAGGACGGCAGCAGCAGCAGCAGCAGCAGATAATGTCCTTCACGAATCTTTTTGCGGTCTGGGCTTGCTGTTCATAACTATTAATCTGGGAAGCCCTTACCCCAAAAAGCATTTGCGGAGGGCGCAATCGCCGCGCCGAGACACCGACATCAGAAGACAGCACTCTGGAATTTTACAATCTTTCCTTTTAATGGACTTCTTTTATTTTTTCTACTCAGATTTTCCTTTTGGTTCATATTTGTCTTTATTTACTCTTATCGTTTTTATCATTGCCACGGCTGTGGGGTTTTTGTTATGTTTGTTTTTTCAGCCCTAAGTGTGTCCTTTTTTCGTAGTCAACAGTTTTCTTCTTTGTTAGAAATTGTGTCGAAGCTCTGCAGCCACGTCGCACCCAAGTTTTCTTCAAACTCTTGCGTGCCTTTGTGCTCATAAAACAAAATAAATAATACAGTTTTGGTAACAAACATTTCGGCGGACCCCAAACTTCGAGCAGTGTAACATCAAGTCATTATTTCAGCCAAACACACCCAAACCCAACGCCGTCGGCCACGCTGACCAAGTGACAGCAGGCCCAGCAGTGCAGTGTAAACACGGGGAGACCCTTGCAAGTTGCACGTGGAGGTGTGTGTGTGTGTGTTTTGGAGGGTGTGGTGCTTGGACGTCACTGAACCCCTAACTCCCTTCAAAAAAGAAAACTGTGGGAAACATTCTCTCTCTCTCTCTCTCTCTCTACCACTCACACACACACACACACACATCACACACACACCACACACACACTACACACACACTCTCACACTCACTCACACACACACCTGTAAGCAAAGTGCATATGCAAGGGATTCCCCAACAAGACCATCCAAACTGGCAGATGGAGAGGAATAAGGAACAGCTGCATCCCTGTCTCATACACGTAGTTACTCTGTGTGTGTAGCGTCCGTGAACATTCAAACAGCCTCCTCTTTAACACACACACACACACACACACACACACACACACACACACAGAAAATGCACGTGTCTCCCTCACAGTTTTGTGAATAGTAGTTAATCCAAGGATCGCCCACCACTGTTCCCCTGTCAACGTTCCCCACAAAGAGCACACAGAGAGCCGGCCACGAACACGTCCTTCCAGTACGAACCAACAGATTACAAAACAAAAAATAAAAAAGATGAAAAAGATCAACTTTAGTCTCGTCAGCTTAGCGATTGGGTCATTATACTACCAACTTCAGTAGCACGAAACTATGGCTCATGAAGCTTCGTGTGAATGCAGTAAGTGGTTTCTGCAGCAAAAGTAGTCATGCGATGAAAATAAAAGCAAGACATGAGCACCAGCTCTTTCAGAAGACACAGTAAAAAGAACGAAAGGAGATTCAATTCATTTTAGGGCGGAGAAGAAAAAACACACGCGACTTTGTGCCCTGTTTCCTCTCTGCTGTCCCATCACAGGTAAAGGGAATGAAAAGTGTGAATGATCAAAATCAAGTGTACTAATGATCCTAATAAATAAACATTTCCGCATATTTGCAGTACAGATCCACAGAGCAGCAAGTGTAACCCTAGGATGGAAAAAACGGTTGGCTAAATGTGCTGAGTCCCACTCACGCTGACAGGAAAATATAGTTTCAAAAAACGAGGAAAAAAGTGTAGTTCAGGGAACAAAAACGACTTAATCCCAAAGCGCTCAGATGCGGCCCCGTGTCTTTTGGCTAAAAACGCAGAGTTCCCAGAAAAATGAACTGAGATGGGGGTGGGGGGGAGGAAAAAAGTTCGTGACGTACTAGATAACCCACCGTGTAAAAATACATTTCCCAGAACATGTTTCTAATTTCGAGAGTGACGTTTGACCCAACTCTTGAGCAACGCATAGATCTCAACGAGGCACTCTTTAGATAATCCAAATTATCTAAAGAGTGTAAAACATAGAGCAGGGATTAATGAACTGGCAATAAAGTGTAAGAAAGCATAAACACGTATTGAAACGACCACAGAGATTACGTAAAACAAAAAAGCGTGACCTCTGACCCTCGGACTCGCCTTCCGTTTTTCTGCCTTAATAGCCATAATGATAAAAAGCCACACCTGTCTACAAGAATACGGGGCACTGGCTTGTCTCCTGCTTTCTGGGTGGGGATGTGAATGAAAACTTATCTTGGCACCTTTCAAAGGTGGCTTAATTACTGAATATTTACTCCGAGGATTCGCGTCATTTCAGCGCGTAAAAGCGGTTTTCTCAATGGTTTGTGGTGGTGCGTCTGATGATAAGTTGCCCCCCCCCCTCCCCCCGTCCCCAAATCCCCCGTTCACATTATGTCTTCCGTCTGTCCCTTTAGGCCTGCGAACTTTTAGACGATTAAGTCTCACCATGTGCGCTTTGTCCATTTGTCTTGCAGGAGAGAACAATGACAACATGAGTGAAGATGGAAACGGGGTGACTTAGGAGCTCAGGTGGACTTGACTGCTGCTGCTGGAGCCTTCAGCTGGGCGCCGGTGAGAAAAGGTGACCTACGATTTGGATGTATGCACCGAGGATCGACTGAAAGAGGGACCGACCGATCGACCTTCCTTCCTCCCCCTTTCCTCTGTCCTCCCTCACCTTCTCTCTCTCTCTTCTCCATCTTGAGACAGGTAATTGCACGGGCTGAAATGTGTTTGAGGATGACGTCAAACACAAATCACCCTTCAAATTGTGTTTTGCGTAAGGCTCGTAATGACAGCTCGGTGCATGTGAGCAAGAGTTGTGTTTGTGTAGGGTCTCGTGCTTCTAGATTTCTATCATTTATATGTTAAAGTTATCATGGAACTTTAAGTCAAATGGAAAATAATTGCCGTGATCTTGTAATTTATTGAGAAGCTGGAAGTAGCACAATGTAAATTTGCACTATACATCTGCATTGTACTTTGTGTATTAGTGAGTTAGTGGTTTTTCGTGTTTTAGTTTTTGCTTTTTTTCTGTTTAATCTGTCACACGGGTCCGTCGTGCTTTTTAGCTATATCACCTCTATATGTGCAATAGTATGAAAGAAGCCCATGCGCAAGTTTTAGCTGTCAGTCTGATGTTGTAATTGTCGAGTTCACGTGGTTTCAAGAGAACCGATTAGATACTCAGTGGTATTTGTGGTATGGGTTTCACAGTTGGATGTCAAAGTATATGATGAGCATTTGCTTGTTTGTAATTTCTTTTATTTTTTTTTCTATCATAATCTATATTGGAGTTGGTGTGAGCGTGGGTGTGCTTTAATCCTGTCTATAACTTGCACTGTATCTGGCTCATACTGTATGTTTTTGGCACCAGAAGATGTAAATTCTTACCTGCTATGTCACCTCTCATTGTGAGTCATCATATCGTACACAGTTCAGGCAACACCTTAGCGTCATGTTAGATTTACTTGCCTTTGTGATAACTCTGTAAAGAGAGGGGCAAAAAAGTGTCATCCAGCTTCTGAAAATCCATTGTTATTGTTGAAGTTATTATAAGTTATTATATGTTCCCACTGTAAACTGAAAGATGAGATCAAGTTAAATGTTATGGAGAATACAATCATGTCTGATCATGTGTAATGACTGGTGTTTGCCCTCTGGGTAAATTAGTTCTTCCCCATGGGGAACCTATGGAAAGCTTTATTTTTTTCATCTCTGTTATATAACAGATGGTGTATTCAGGTGTTCCACAACTTTTTAGACAGGAAGTGGTAGTTCAAGATTGAGAAATATGCTGTAACTGTCAAAATAATAATATGTGTGTGTGTGTGTGAGGATAAAAACCTGAAAATATGATTTTCACACAGCTTAAAGTAGCACAACAATTAGTTTCACAGCGCATTGCAAATTTGAATTTCTTACAGCTGTTTCTTTAGCCTGATATTAGTACAAAATTGTCATCATTTCTTCGTGTTCAGTAAATGATCATGGCTCTGAAAGTTAGGGAATTTCATGTGGGATACGTGTGTGTGTGTGTGTCTGTTTAGTCAGAAAGACATCTTGGTTTTTATTTGAACATATTTTGAAATTTCCATCTCCAGTACTTTTGCCTCCATACAGCAAACCTGTATGAAATAATTTATCATAATAATCTGCAAAATACACTATTTCTTTGGTGGAAAAATGTTGACACATAACACCAAGTTTAGTAAGTTGCTGTTGCAATTTTCTAATGCTGTGACCACAGCAGAACTCCACTTACCAGTAGTTTCCATTTGGGCGGTGTCAGAAATCTCACAGAAAAATCTCAAAAGCAAATACACCTGTGGTGATGATCAGACAGATTTGTGGGAAAATATCTCTATTTGAAATCTAGGCAAACAAACCAGGTAACTGATAACTTATAGCCTCAGAGTTCTCGTCACACCAAATTAGAATAAGGGAACGTCTGAAAAATATAAGCATCATTTTCTCTGAAAATTGGCATGTTCTTTTTTCTTATTTTTAATCACACCACAAAACCATTTGATGTCTTAGCTCAGTGTCGTATGATGCTGTTGGGACTGTAGCCGTATCAAACTGTATGCTGACATTGCTTCCCCCCTCTTGTGCACAGAGAATCAGAATAATGTTTCAAACAGTAAATCACCACGATGGAAAAGTAAATTGGTAGGGGTAACAACTGGCAATGAAAAAATGTGATTGTGTTCATGCTGTGGAGTGTAACATAATTTGTCATGTGATTGTCACTGAATGTGTCCATTGTTTTAAAAAAACACAAGCCAAAAATCTCATCGCATTTTAAAAACTGTATACATATCAACTACAGGTCAAAATACACACTCTGCTATGATCATATACTCATAATTTAATAGTCTACTCACCTTCATAAGAGTCACGTGATATATTTTACCTGAAATGAGTGGTGAGCATTTTTTCCTGACATCATCCCACCTGTGTATGACAAATCACAGCATGTTCCTAAATTTCCTCTTGTAATCTTTTCTGTTGTTAGCTACCAGTGCGGAGCTATATTTAGGGGGATGACGTCATGGTTAAAAGTGAGACCAAAGGGCTTTGAAGACATGTGCTACAAAAAAGAGGGAGTTATGTTAAACTCCGGATGCTAATAACACATCGGGTGTGTGCTTCATTATAGCTTCTCATCAAAAACAGATAATAAGCATTTATCCTTGAGGATTATCCCATGGACAGCAGCATCCATTTGGTTTCAGCAGTCTTGAAAACCACATGTGGATGCACTCAAAATTTATGTGGATTGACTCAATAGGCTAAGCTATCGTTCAGGGCTTTATCACAGACTGCATTTTATTTTTAGTGTAACCTCAATATTTGCCGTCAATCAACTATTTGAAATACAAACACTAAAGGTAGTCATGTAACAGAACTAAACAACAACAAATGGTTTTTTTTTCATGGCTTTTGTTTTTATCCTTCTATCTTTTTTTGCAGGGGGATTCATTCATAATTTTCATCATTCGTTTCGCAAGCAGGAAAAATAACCACGTCCGTTTCATATATCTATCAAATCTGTTTTATTCACAAGCGCTGTAAATGGCAGCACGTTTGTTCTGTCTACCTTATGCTGGACTGAAGCCATATCAATCTCACCTTTGAACATGGATGAGTTGTCTCTGTTTATTTGTGTTTCTGTGGTTAAAGATTGTAGCTTCTCTGAACAAGGCTTGTGCAGCTCCACATTTTCCTTGATGGGAATGTTCATAGTGGAAAGACCAAAATCCCCGAATGACATTAATTGATGCTAATAAAGAGTGTATGCCAAAGCCTTCCACTGTATATTTTCTATCACTGTCTCATAGTTTCTTAGAAAATGGTAAAAACCCAATGAGTGACATGTTTGCACTAAGCGACACACTCCTTCAGGATGAGGAAAGTGGCTACTGTAGTAAAGTTTGAGTCAGTCCTGCAAAGGCATCCCCTATGCGAGGAATATTGCATTTAGCAAAATGGTTTGTGTTTCAGTCTTGAAATGGAAATAGTCACCAAATAAGTTTTTTTGCTATTCTATGCCAATTAATATTTGTTTTGGAGAATGAGAATAGATGGTTTACATTGAGTGCTTTTGTCTAGGCTACAGAAGCTTAGTGCTTCTGATACCTTTGATTTTGTTGATGCTATTGTTGATGTTTATTATGGTTATAATAATAAGCATGGATAAAGTTCGAGGGCAATTGCGGCAACACAAAAAGAAACTTTTAATATGAAACAGAAAATGATTCTCAGTCTGCGCAAGCTGTGCGATTTATTGACCTGTCCATCCATCTGTTGGGCTGCTAAGTTTTTTAAGATCACTATGTGAGCAGTGACAACTTCAGTGCATAGTTTATAACGCTTTATTTTAGAACTCAGTCAAATGTAGCACTGATATAAGTCACTAACCTAACCTACTATCCCCAGCTAATGGTTAAATTTGCATCCATTAGAGAAAAAAAAGGTTTCATAGGAATTTTTTATGCTTTCTTAAAAATGACAGGTGTATGTAGTCTTAAAACATGCGCATATGTTTTTACCATGTAACATCCTACAGTTACGTTCCCCACTCAGGAGGTGTAATAGTGCAAGAGACTGCCACGGACATCACTGAACTATCACCATTATGCTACATTAGTGGAAAAACCCCAGATCCTCCTTTAGATACTATTCTAATGGAATTTGGAATTTGAATTAAAAACAGAGCTCCTTAGTTAATACCTTCAAAATCAAATTAAACTTCATTCATTCTAATGCTTATTCATATATTTTTGTGCGAGGCATATGGAGTCTTTTTTTGTGTGTGTCACACGTATGATTGTGTTGTGTTGTAGTGGTATTAGACGCAAGTCTTCCACAGCTTTAAAACACTGAGAGCTGACGTGATGAACACTGATCATGTCTTTAAAATACAGTGTGCAGCTGGGGCCTTGGCATATATGTGCATATTACTTTGACATGCATTAAGTGCCATATTCATAAACAGTGACCAAGCACACACCACACGGGAGAGCGTCCTCCCCCAGCAGGGCTGTTCTACCAGCCACACAACTCAGGAATGGCTGAGAAAAGCTCAGGGGATTACTTGACCTTCAAACTCCCTAGTCCCAGTCCAGTTGAACAAATGATCGACCCAAAATGACCACAGGACACCCTAAGAACTCTTGTGTTTCTGCCCTGATAAGTCTATTTTGAGTCATCCCATATGTAGAGTATGTTAACAAATGTCAGTTACAATTACTGTTGTTGTTGCTGTGACCAAGTCAGTTTTTCTCATAAATTAATCACAAATTAATCAAGGTATCTCCTTCTGTTCTTTGTCAGTCTACTAACATTAATGTAATTCAAAAGTTGTACTTGGCAGATGTATTTGTGCAGATCCAAGTGACCGCAAAACTCAAAATCTGAAATCTCTCATTGACAAAACTATTCCAGACCATAGTTGTGGTGTGCCAGATTATGTCTAGTCGTATCTAGTTATCTAGTTGTATCCTAGGCATCTAAAACTTTATAGGTAACAAAGGCTCACACCTGTGTATGTATAAGGTCCCACAATTCACATGACAAGGTAAAAACTAGGTCACAAAGTCCAAGAAACTCAATGTAGACATCTATGATAAAACTGTGAAAGGCATTCAGTCGTGAAAAAAGTGCATGTCGAGGAAATTACATTTATTCCATCCAGTCATTTTCTT